GTGTGATTAATGACATATCTTGTTTTTAGTTAAATTTGCCTACAAGGTCATATAATTTTCCATCTTGCTTTAAACAAAAGGACTTTATTGCACCAAAAATGAGTCACATCCTGTGTATTTCACCCTTTCTTAGAATTTTGGTACCTGCTTACCTGACCCATAATTCCCAAAACTTGTTTTTAACCTATATGTTACCTCTTGAAGTTTACCTGCTACTTTTTTTGATGTTGTAATTTTATGTTAGGCATTCACATCATTACAAACATTTAATTTTACTACACAATTTAATATTAATTTTACGGCTGGTTTTTTTATTGGTAAGTTTTTTTTCCCAGCCTATTTCTATTTTTATTCGATGAACTACCATTTTCAAAGGTTAATTTTTGCAATGTAATTTATTTCGACTTAAATTTCCGAGCTTTTACAACCAATAATAATTGCCATAATTATTAAACAAACTTTTCACAATTTGAGTGCTTTATTTTACTTTCCTTTCCTACTGTACTTCATGTCAAAGCGTTGTCTACAACTAACGTAAGGGGATCCTGCCTTAGATGTTTGATCACGTGCCACTTTTCAAATTTAAGCGGGATCTTGTTTAGTTTTGGAGGGAATAGTCATTCGGGTTTCCATTTTTAAACGTTGCCAGGTTGACTTTATTTCCGTGTTCTTGTAGAGTGAAGTTAGCGTAGAACCTGGGGGTAAGTACACTACAAGTTATAACAAAAGAGAAATATAATCTTAAATATCCCTTTCCCTAGGACTGTCCTAGGATGGTCGTACCCTAAACATCCCGGTACTACATTCCTTTCCAAAAACGTATAAATTAGTTAGTGTTAGTGTTAGTTTACACGGCAACTTTTGGGGGAAATACGATTTGTTAGCTTTCCGGGGGGAGGTGTGGGAGGTATGGAATGCCTGCCTCCAGGTATATATGATTGCAGCAAAAGTGAAGTAGGAATCTTAAATATCCCTTTACGATTTTCCCAGGATCATCGTACACTGGGGAGTGCTTCATACCCCGCGGTGCTACGTTTCTTCCCAAAATCGTTTACACTTGTTAGTGGTAGTCCTAGTTTACACGGTAATTTTTGGGAAAAGGCGGGTCAGGTTACAGAAGGGGGGGGGGGGGGAGTACCGCTCAGGTACTCGATCTGTACCAAACGTTAATTGGTCTCGGACATGTTCAATGCCGTGCAGTTTTTATGGAAACAGCACCCTTCTGAGCTCAGTAGGGCTGTAGGTAGGGTTCTAAGGTAAGATATTTTACCACCACCCGACAGACCACTACTTTCCGTGAACTTACCGTGCTAAACGAAAGCTAACTTAGTGCGTGTACTTGAAGTGCACGTACCAATTCCAATTCAAAGTCATTTGTTAGTCATTTTTAACCTTGTACTTATTTACAGGCCATGAAAAACCCTTAAAAGCTAATAAAGTGATTTGAAGGGCCCTTAATAATTCTGTGAAGTCTCAAAAAAATTCGAAAAGACTTTCGAGGTTTGTTAAATACTAGTGAAGACTTCTAAAAATACTTAAGTGCTATTAAGCGCTCTTAAAGCAGAAACAGTCTAATCTAAGAAGCTCTGATCAGTCTTTCAGCTAGTAAACGCTCTTCAGAGTCACTTCAAAACTGTTTAAGGATCTGAATGGGACATGAAAATTTGTAAAAACTCCCAAAGGCTCATAACTCTTAAACCTACAGCTTTGTGGTATTAAAAACTAACAACTCTAAAAATAAAGCTTCCTGAGAACTGTCAAGGATCTTTGAAGACTATATTGGCAGAAGGTCAAAACCCTTTAAAGTCAGATATCTTAATGGATCCTAAAGATTCCTAAAGAATCAAGACCTGATAAAGACTGCAAGATGTATTGGGTTTTGCCTTAGGGTAATTCCAACCGGATGATCACATGGCCACCGATGACTGGAAAATAAACGGAAAAGTAATTCTGGCCTCTGGTCGAGAATATTGATGGATCTGGATGCCGGATTACGATAGGAGGGTGGACTAAGTTCACATGTACTGAGGCCTCCCATTCGTTCCCTTTGTACCACCTTTTTGATCTAAAGTCCTCACCCCTCAACGACACTAAAGTAATCTAAAACGTGAAGCCAAAGCATGCTGCAAGGGGAAGCGACTGCAGCTGTAAGTGTAAGAGCCAGGTCTGGACAATAAAACATCTGTTTTGAGGCGCGTCGGGCTTTCTAATTGTTTTTCTTTCCAGCAGGCCCTTTAACCCATACGAGCTCAAGGGTGTTCTTGTTTGCTACTAACTTTAGTGCATGGTGACATTCGGAAGTGGAATACACGGAATAATCTGGATTAATATCTAGTTTGTTAGCGAGCTCTGAAAAAAGTTCTTGGTAGAATACCAAATCATGCTTTTAAAGGGGCGAAGATGAGTGCAAACAAATGGGGATATGAAAGAAGCGATTTAATTGGATGAGGACGATAGCAGGCGCAATCCAACGGGGGACTTTTACAAATACAGATAGAATTTCCTCCTTGAAGATCTTAAAGGCCCCCAAGGTTCGGATTTCAAACACTTTAGACCAAGACTTTCACGGGTTCTTAAATTCCGAGTGTCTATTAAAGACTATAAAAGTCTTTATGAAACCCTTAGAACCTGGAGGTAACCTCCAAGGTTTCCAATTGCACAGAGGCCCTTGAACCCTTTTGAAGGTTTACGAAGGGTCTTTTAGAACTTTCAAAAGCCTTTATCGGCTTTTCAAGATATTTCTTCGAAACGCTTTTGTGACTTGTAAATAAATATTTCAAAAAATCATTAAATTGAATTAGATGCTTTTAATTTTTATTTATTTATTATCCCTCTCTTGCTCTGGGCCCTCAACAGGTTTGCGCCCAATACAGAGTGACCCACATAATGCTTTTTAGAGGTGCCTCTGCAGAAGGCCTTAAGTTGTTCTGTACTACTCCGGTATTTATTACCTTACGAATTACTGCAGGAAAACCTAATTCGGAGTAGTCAGCAGAATGCTCAAAACAGGTCTAAGGTAATTCCCATCTCTGCCACAGATGAAAAATTCACCTCAACGCAAGTTCGAACACCTGACCTCCGGATTTATAGTCCAACGCTCTACCACTGAACCACAAAGCCGGTCGTAAAAGGCCTTAACGCTGTGTTAAAATACACTTAAATACTAATAGAGAATTTCAAGACTTTTAAGGACTATAAGAAGCCTTGTATTAAGGATCTGTGAAAACCATTAACCATTTCCCTTAGATAAGAATTTTGGTGACTTATTCAACCTCTTAAATATCGAAAGTCCAATAAAGCTCATCCTGACAGTTCCTTAAAACTTAAAACAACAGGTCTTAGAGGCCTTTTGAATGCTTATACCTCGGCTTATACTATGTTCTTAAATAGTTCCTAAAATCCGTTAAACATCCTAATAGCTACAGTATATTGTAGTATGAAGAGGACTATACATATATGTGCCTTTATTTAGAAAGCTTTCAAAGCAGAGACTTGCTATAACTAGACTGCGCTTAACGTATCTAAGGTGTTGTCGACACAGTATGCAACACACAATGCACCGCGGGGCAAAAACCGCTGAGATCATATGCAATATAATGAAATAAACGGTTATTTTAGATGTTCCGTTCATTAATCATTCTCGTGATTAGCTCGAATTAGTGAACAGATAAATTTCTGTTGAGAATAAACCAATAAACTTAGGTTAACTTGTGCCTATCAACATGTGCTCTGTCGATAAATTTTTAAATAATATGCTGATTTTCAACGGATAAAAGTTTAAAGGGCCAATGGATCAGAGCCATTCGAAGAGAAAAATTTACTCCCACCATAGTGCATTTGCGGGGAATGAAGCCGATTTTAGAAAGGTACCTACGAAGGTGTTAAACAATAATGCAATACCGAGCGTTTTCGACTTTCCCATTCACTTAAAATAACGTAGAACTATTATTCGACATCCTTTACCAGCAAGACAACGGCAATACCTATTTGCCTATTAGGTATAGACGTAACTAAGTACTTACTGGTACTAAGTATATTTCAGGTTTTGTTACAAGAAAAATAGCTAAGTCTGTTAAATGTTCCATATGTGCAGATGCGATATTCGCATCAGAGAGTCATTCAAAGCTTTTAACTAGAAAAAATCGTGGAGGATTGTTGCACGTATCAAGCGATGCATTAAAAATTTGCCAAATTGCTGAAAATGTGTTCAGGTTTTTCATTCAATCCACACCACACCGCGTTGTAAACAAAATGGTTATCAGCAGTCTAAGAAAAATAAATAACAGTTACAGCCCATTTGGGTTTTTGGATAGGCATATATTGAATCAAAATCCGCTAAATAATCATATCTTACTACTTACATCTTTAGTTTTAAGAGTATGTTTTCCCATACGTGTTCACCACCAAAATACACATATAAATCAAATTAGGACTAGAGTAAGGCAGTTATATACCAATTTAGTTCAAATAAAATACCAATAAATTCGATTAAACAGTTAACAGCTATATGTTATCTTTTTTTGCTACTAAAATTTAGAATAAACATGGCTAAAGCAAGCTGCAGAACGTACGTCTGCCCCGCGATGAACAGTTGGTTGCCTATCCTCTCTTGACAACAGGCGTTTATAGTAAAATCTACGTTACGCGCGGTCTAGTTATAACGTCTCTGTTTCAAAGGCACTACTTTTACAGGACCTACTATTTACATTATATGAGTTGAATTAGTGCAATTCTATAAGATGGATGTAGAGCACTCTAAACAACTCTTTTCAACACATTTTTACAAGCTAATATAAAAAATTACGTTCCGGAAATCCCCTGTTTTAGAGGCTCGGTTTACGTGCTGATTAGAACTTTCGGGAGTGTTTAGCACTTAAGCCATTAAAGATATATAAAAGACACCACGATCCTCTTTTAAAAGAGGGCCGTTTATGAAGTCTAGTCCGGCCCTGAACAAATTAGGAATTTTATCGAGGTGTTTAGTTCAAATGTGAGTTGGTAGTTCAACTACCTCGAGAACTACGTGAACTACTTTGTATTGCAAATACTTAACCTCACTTATACAATGTAAAATCAGGAATATAACATTACTGGAACTGGAATTGAGCTAATCCAGAGCACAAAATGGCTTACATTGTTTAGTGCACAAGAAATTGACCCAGTTAGGTCTTGCTGGTTTGATACTGTGATTTCTGTCCAGACTCACTCAACATGTTACCTGTGACAATGGATATTTAGTAAGATCTTCTAAATCCATCCGTGAAAAGCTCTAACATGCATTGTTCCTGAAATTAGAGTTCACAAGTGAAAGGACTAGCCTTCGATTCATTCATACTTGCTGCTGGTTTACGGGTAGAAACGTGGTTCACATTTTCAAATCTTAACTTGTAATTTTAGCATGGGTTGGAAGCTGTGTTGTACATTTAATGGGTCTCAGTTTGGGATACCTTTTGCCAGATGTTGCCTTTCTAAAAGGTTTTTTTAATGCTTGGGACAAATCCCATGGATATGAAAAGGTCTTGCTGTAAAAACTAATCCAAAGAATACAGCCCTACAACTTGCTGTAGATGGTATTAATGGTTAAAGTTTTAGTGGCGTGTTAGCCGAGCATTGGACCCTAGGCTAGGATAATTTGTGTGCCCCCTCCCTCTCCTATTATAGTATTGCATTCTCAGATTAATTGTTAATCTGAGATTGTATGGTAGGCATTATCACTACTCTAATGATTGAGGAACATTATGTATTTCAAGGAATATGAATCGTATTGATGTGGTTTTTTTTTGTGAATAAAATTGTTTACTGTTACATCTGTGGAAAAATTATGAATCTTGGTGTGTGCAGTTACTCAGACTACGATAGATCGTTGTTCCATGTCCAATATGTATATTTTTAAGTTTTTTGGTCATTTTTCTCCCCACTACTTTACCTTACCTTCCCTTCTCTTCAGCTCTCCTCACAAGTCGCTCTAAAGCTTTCACAGAATTAATCTTTCATTTCCAGACCCTCATTCCGTGTCCTACAAAAAGGATTTATTTTTCGGAAGAGAAACTTTATGGCAGCTGAGAGGAATTAGGAGCTTCAGAGAAGTAGAAGGTGATCAATTTTTAGGACAGGTGTATGAGAAATTTGTGAGAAGAATATCGCAGGTTTCTGATGTAGTTATAGTCAGCAGACCACAATACATTGATATTTTTGATGAATCCCTTAATAGCTGTTTCGTAATGATCTAATACTAATGAACAGAACGCTCTTTTTGATGGTTAAAATTATATTTTTGTGAGGTACACATCATCAAATTGAGATACACACGTTTTGAGAGCTGGCAACCGCGCGACTTTTGAAAAGGAAAAACCATAGAAAACCAATCTCGAGAGCACTAAGGCGTCTTGCGTTACGACCATCTCCATTTGAGCTGTCGCCAAGAGAGCATCGTGTAACTTTATGGTAACATACCCCTACGGTTAGGCAACAAACCTCACATTTGAAGGAATCGCAGTACTGGAAAAATACGAAACACTCGCTTTGTATAGGTACAACAAACCTTCTGGTCAGGCGGCGAAGAACAGGGAATTTTCACAACAAAGCTTGGTTATGTTAATCGTATTCGAATCGAATGTACCTACGTGGGTTGTCCAGAAAGTAGCAGACGTTTTGAAATAAAAAATTTTAAACTTATAAAGAAAATCTCTTATTATATACATTTAGGAGCTACACACCCTCCATACAGCTTGGATTTAGCGCCTAAGCGACTTCCACCTCTTCCTAGCGATGAAGACCTCGCTCGCAATACAGCACATGGACAGTGATGCCAAACCTCAAGAAACACTTATGTACCACGCTATGATAAGTGCCTCAATATAAATGGCAACTATTTTGAAAAATAGCCTATAAGAGTGTAGCTTCCAAATGTATAAAAAGTTTTTTCTTACACTTTCTTAATTTTTTATTTCAAAACGTTTGTTACTTTCTGGATAGCCCTCGTATTTATGATGTTTCTTGTGCATCGTTCTTGTTGATTTATTTCATGCGACTCGACACCTGATTTTTATTAGGTACACGATTTGAGATGGTTGATTTGTATATTTTTCGGTTTTGTATTTTGTTGTAGTTAATTTAAATATTTTTTTTTGTACGTTATGCCAGGTTTTTTGTCAATAAAAGGTATACCGGGTATAACAATCAGGAAGTACTTATCGTGCCACTTACCCTTAGCCGATTCCAACCGAGATTCAAAAGTGGCGCGAAGCGTCCGTGGTTCCGACTAAAAACTTTAGATGGCTTTGTTCATAGTTTATTTCAATGTTGCCAACTGTAAGTTTAGTGTATGGTAAATCACAATTGCAGCGCCAGGTTGGAGGACCCCTAGGATCATTACAAGTTTGTTGTTTTTTTTTGTGTCATAAAATGCATTTCTTTATCATACATAGACCCCCAGGGGCCCCAGGAGAAACAGAGGGGTTTAGTTTCATTTCATCATAAAACCATCGGTGTGCTGGTGGTATTCCCCCCCCCCCCCCCCCCAATCTCCCAGTGATATGCTCTCCTCAAAAAGTTCAGCCATAAGAACCCTTTCACCTTACATCACACCACAATGTGTAGGTCGATTCAGTTACATCTCCCGAACGCTCTCCATAAAAAATCGTGCCCTCTATTTTCCGTGGGAGTTCTACTGGGAGTAGCCCCTAGCTAGACCAACCCCCGGTAGGTACCACTTTCTTCCCCAAAATTCTTAGTAGCGGTACCTACACCATTGATTTTGGAAAGATCCATAAGGGCTGAACGTTTTGAAGCAGAACGCGTCACCTGGGAGTCTGTGTAGGACGATTCAATCAATTCTCACGAATTTCTTCATAAATGATTGTGCCCTTCCTTTACCGGGGAGAAAAAGAATAAGTTAATGTTCATTTCGCATAAAACCTTCGTGTTCACTTGGGGGTTTTTGAAAAAGTTTCATGGCCCCTGAATACCTTTGTATCAAGCTTTTGGTTTATAGAACACATTAGAAAAAATTTTAAGACCTCCCAAGTCCTGATAAGGTACGATTGCTTATAATTTCCTCTTCTTCGCCAAGGTGTCAACACGAGTTAAATATTTTGAACACTGTAGATATCGTAGAGGAGATGTGTAAAAATATGAAGGAAAAAGTAATATAAGATGACAGATAACAGAAAAGAATGATGGGCCTGAGAGTGTACGAAGAAAGAAACATATACAGAACAATGATGGAAAACAAAAGAAAGAAAAGGAGAGATAGAGGAGAAGGAGTTGAGAGAACAAAAATGAAAGTACAAAAGAAAATGTAAGGAAGAAAAGATGAAGGAACAAAGAATACGAAGAAGAGCAGCGAATAAAAACAGAGAGTGACTTTTGGAAGATGATAAACAGAGAAAAGGGGAGAACTTCATGAAGGTGCTGTAAAGAAATCAGGAGAAAGAGGGGGTGGACGAAATTTCAGGAGAAGAGATCGAGCAGCAGTTATAGAGACTTGAGAAAGATAGATCTGTTGGAATAAGGGATGAAATGAGACATTATAGGGTTGAATTTTTGGCCACAGACAGTGTCTAAGGGGCGGTTGGAGGAAACGAATATTCAAAATATGGCAAGAGGGAGAGCTACCGGAAGAATAAGGGGGGGGGGGGGAACAAAGACCATATGGAAAGTGTAGCATCACGACCGTAACGATTGCGTAGGGAATATATACGATAGTGTTGGACACACAATGGGATTCAGAATTAGAGGGAGAGAAACGATCAAGTGTAGTAACTTCACAGATTGGTTGAAAAGGTATTGGAAAAAAAGGGTGGAAATGGCGTTTATCGTGGATTAAACGAAAAGGGAGAAAGTGTGGAAAATGATGGAGCAGGGGAAAATAGATAGGTACCTAATGATTTAAAGAAGAGAATTAAAGAGTCGGGAGTCGGGTAAGGATAGGAGGGAAGGATAGGAGGAAGAAGTTTCTTGACAATAAATCAGGAATTCGACACTTAGCCCAACCTTATTTACGATTTAGGTGCATAAGATAAATTGGAAAACACTAAGGCAGGGTCAAGGTGGAGGAATCGTAGTGGAAAAAAGGAAGGTATGATGATCTCTGGCATATGCTGGATGGAAAGAATGGTTAAAATACTGGAAAAAATGAAATGGAATTAAATGCTAATGAGATTTGGACGGAAAAAGGGAGGTAGAACGGAAGTGGAAGAAGGGAAGAGTAAGGGAAGTAAGCAAACCAAATTACATATTAGAGGAGAAAATCAAAAAGGGGAAGATAAGGATAGCGTCGGGAAGCATGGACGGGGATGAACACAACAGGCCCGTGTGTGGCGCAGTTCAGTTGAAACTGGACTGTGGTGATAAGGGTCCCAGGTTCGAATCCCGGTTCGGGCATGAGTATTTGTAAATGTATAGTGGGTTGGGTTGGTAGAGCAGCCTTGGTTGAAACCCCGTCAACTCAAAAATAAATAAATAAAATAGCGAGAACAACAAAAACGGATACGGATGGGAGGATGAAAGGAGGAGAGAAGCAGAGAAAGGATGAAGGAAGAACTTACAAAAAGTTATACTTACAAGAGCAACAACAGAGAGAGAAAATCGAGAGTACACGAGCTCATAGAAGGTACAAGGACCTAATAATGAAGGGGGTATATGAAGAGAAAGAGGAAATCAGAAAGGAAAGCTGGAAAGAAATACTGGCGAGGGGTGAAGAGGAGGAAAATGGGCGAAACCTAAGAATCTTTTTTCCTTTGAAACTGCACTTTTATTAACAGTAAAACGCTAAACACTACAAAGTCTACCTCTAGCTTAAAGGTAAGGAAAATAGAAAGGTAATACAACTAATATGTGGATGCTGCAGTTTAGGATTACTGCACCTTCTCCTTCTTTTGGAAGAAACCTCGTCGAATCAAATAAATGGAAACCTTCAAGGCAAGGTACATTAGAAACAAAATCGTAAAGAAGACGAACAGCAGAACTCCGATGACGTCCAAGTAAAGGTATTGGTACAATGGTATATCCTGCCCCTGGGTTTTTAAGTGTTTTGTTCCCTTGTTTCTTATTACATGGTCCGTCCACCATACAGCAACCTCCAAGCCACCTACTGGCTGATCGTGAACCAACTCATGCAAGTACATCATCTTCTTTCGATACCTAAAAACCACTCGTAATAACAACTCCAACATTACCAGAAGTCATTGCTTGTAACCAACTCTATATTCTCCAAGAGATCCAGCATGGCCGCCTTGAACTTCTTTTTTTTTAAGCTGTTGATGTTCAACGACAATGCAGCTCCTCTAGGAACCACACTACGAACCATCGCTTCTTGATCGCGATGCATCGGTAGCATAAGCATCGGCACTTTAAAATAAACGGCTTCCTCGACGGCTTCCAGCTCGCCATGTGTTACAAACAACTTGATATTCGGGTGCCCTGAAACCGATCTGTGATACACCCCGCTCACCCCAACTCCATATCTTACTTAGCACATCCTGCTGAGAGACCGACTGGGTAACTAGCACATTCTCCGGCTCGCTCTTAACTTCTCCATCATATCGCACTATAGAATTGTACGAGAGCTCCCCAAGTGACTTCAGTATGATGCGGAGCGCGCTGGAACTAACTGGGCCTAAATTCACGTAAATAACTCCACTCGGGCTTTTCCTCATGAAGGCGTCGAATTCCTAAGAAAAAGATTGAATGTTTTGACAGGTGGCGGGCGATTACCTCCGGTAAGAAGTTCGGCGGTTGAATGTTTAGGGCGCCTCCAATAGACACAATCGTCGGGATGAGAGGACGTATGTGTCCGAGGATCGGGTTCTGGTTGACCAAAACGACACTAATCCTGTCTCGTAGATCTTCAACTGTCGGAAACTTGGACCCGAAGTGCTTACGGATTAGGGCCGTTTCTTGTTTAGCTACAATCAGGTTGTAGTAAAGCTTGTTCGCGAAGAGAACTCCAGCGCTGATAAAGCGTTCGAGGAAGCTGAGCGGGTGTTTGTAAGGCAGTAGGAAGTCTGGATTGTACGCCGAGTGAGAGGGATTGTTAAGATCGTAGTACATGAACGATCTCAAGTCCGTAGTGGAAACCAGGATCAAGGGGCAGTTGTACACTTCGGCCAAGGCGTAAAGAACCGGTGCTTGGTACTCTGTAATTACCAGGTCGAACTCTCGGTCTTCGTTTAGTAATTCAATGACCTTGGTGTGGTTCAACTCCGAATCTAGGGTTTTGAGCACCGAGTCGTAGTTGTAATACGCCGAGATGAAAGACTCCCGGTCCACTTTATCCAAGGTAACACTCTCGTGCCAGACTATCTCTTGCAGGTGTGAGTAGCTCTTATCGTTCATGGAGTGGGTCGTTAGCAGAGTAACTGCGTGACCCCTTCCCAACAACGCTCTCCATAGTCCCTGGAAGGTTACTTGGTGTTCGACGAACGGTGACGAAATTGCGATCAGAATTCGGGCACAATCACAATTTGCCAAGAATAGCAGAACCGGGACTATGTTAACGTACAGCATTATCGGATCTTTATTACTACAAAAATGGAATTTAGGCTACGATTTTTTTATAGATAAGCGCCAGCGTGTACACAATCTTATATTAATTAGGAGCTTATCTTTTTTACTATGTTGACTCTGAGCAAATTTTCAAGAATGTGGAGGATGAACCATGGGATAACGCGCGTAATGCGGCAGCTTCTCAATGCATGCCTGGGGAAAGGCACTATACTGCAAAATAGCGATTATCTACCCTGTGCTCCTGATACGATTAGTTCCCTTTAGGGAAACCATTTTGACTGTAATGGAAACGTGATTAGATCTTCCATACCTTGAAAACTGTCAGTTGTAAAAAAATTTAAAACATGCAGATATTACCCTCCCTCAATTCGCGATTGAACATTATGACTTCCTGATACGATTTCTTGGAAAATACCATTTTGGCCGTGACAGCAGCTAATTTAGCCCGTCCGACTCTGAGAAAATGGGAAACATGAAGATCTTATCCTCAGATCAACTTCACTTCCCTACCACATAATAGCGATTAACTATTCTGAGCTCCTGATACGGATTAGTTCACTTATAGGGACCATTTCATCCATGATTAACCAATCGATACCCTGAAAGAAGTTTGTAGAAAATGACCACCACTTCACTATTCCAGAATAGCGTTACACCATTATAAAGCGCTTCTTAGGGAGCGCCCATCTTGAAACCATATTCATTGTGACAGAAACGCGATTAGCCCACTCTATAAACGATTAGGCAATCCTGTGACAATTTTCACTTCACTACCGTAAAATGACAGTTATGAGCTGCAGATACGATTATACAGGCCGTCCCATCTATTCAATCCTATTTCAAACTTGTGGGTTCACACATCGTCAGGTGCACGCATTACACAGGAAAATTTCGCAGCATTATAGAGGACCGCTTTCATCCGATGATAAGAGGTCTGATGCAACTGTATGTCGCATGACAAAAAGGCACCATCACTTCTCACTCCATGAAACGCACCGGCAGTAAAGTAGGCACAATCCAAACTAGCGCACGGTCATGGCCTAGGTGAGAGGAATATTCCGGTTGCGTAACTAAGAAGTGACCTTGTTTTTAGGTGCAAAGTTCTGCTCTGGGACTGCCGGTTCCGTAACTAAGGCGTGATCTTGTCTTATGGTGCAAGATCGCGACCCTTCTCCGACGAAAAAGTCGTGACCTTGGTAAAGGGAACCCCCGGATACGTAAGTAAGTCGTGACCTTGTTTTATGGTGCAAGGTCGCGCCCATGACGAATGAATATTTTAAGTTTCCAAAAAGGCTTTTATGAAGCTGATTTATCTTAATTCCAGTTTACCTTATTTCAAATGTTATGAAAAATGAATGAAGATAGCGTCGGGGTACCATTGTTCCATTATTTTTCGCCACATAGAGGGCATTCTGGCCAAAAACTTTGCAAGATCCTTTTGAAGCACCCGGTACCAAAAGCGGAAACGGTGCTTTTACGTTTTTCCACCTATTTAGAGTCTCCCTGACTTTAGAGTACATCCCAGTATATCCCTGAAAGGCCATAGATCACTACATTCATTTCAGCATGCTTACAGTAGGGTTGGTATGGTCACAGAGGCGGCTCTTCATAGCCTTGTGTGCAGGCTGAGAGGGGAATGTCAGCCGGGGGTAGCCCTAGGAGCGTTCCTAGGTATCGAGACAACAACAACCCCACTTTTGACTACATATTAGTGAAGCTTGGTCAATCCTAAAATGGATCCGCGCCATGGTTGGAAGTAGGGTAATTGTATCCGCAATCGGGGCGTCGGAGATGGGCTCATCGGTCACTAGAGGATGTCCGCACTCTGAACAAGGGCGGAGCGTATATACAGGGATACGTGGACGATCTCGCGACCGTCGTAACAAGAAACTTTCCAAATGCCGCGAAAGAGCTCGTGCAGAGGACTCTCGAACAAGTAATTAGGTGGTGCAGTACCCACCCGGTATGTGAACACCCGGTATTTTCAAGCATCTTAAGTTGAGCGCTTCGTCACGAAAAGTATCGTACCGTATTGTATATGTCGAAAGTATTTGTGTTGGTTCTAGGAGTTGAAGATAGAAGCTAAAGGTAAGATTTAATTTGTAGAGTGGTGTTTCATCCGCTGTTACCGTAAACAAAAGCTATAAGTAATTCGTTGTTTGCAACCGTTCCCGTCAAGGTATTTCAATTACTTTTGTTTCGCCCGAAAGTTCTTGTCATTAGAAGACGAGGGCAAATTACTGTCTTAGACTTTCAGCAACATGAAGCCATTATTAGCAGTTTTTTTGTTTTCCACGGTAATTGAAGATCAGCATTTAAATTTGGATAAGTGACCTTTTGCCGACCTTAGAAATTACAAGCGACAATAGATGTTGATTGAACCACCGAAATTCCAATTAAAGTGTAATTAACAGAAGCTAAACAGTAGCTAAATAAATATGTTGCATCCGATTAAGTCGCGAGGGGTCTTAAAGGAAGCGCGTGTAATTAATTTTAATTTTAAGACCAATTAGTGAAGATTTTTAGGACTTCGGCAGCAGGACTCATTTTTTCGATAGGTAACCGAATACGCTGCGTCGACTGGGAAAACCGGCTAATTTGTATTTTGTTGCTCATTCTCGCTAGGGAGTTTTTCGTAATTTTGTTTTAGTTTTTCCGTCATTTGCTGAACTCGCCCGATTCATGGAGTTGCCGTTTACTCTCATTGTGCTTGCTCGAGACTCCCGAGACCGTCCTCCAAACCGTTGCTACCGCCGACCTTGACCAGGGAAAAGGCCGTACCTCTTGGTGGCGCTCGAGATCTTCCGTTCCATCGAGGGCATCCAGGTTGTCGCTGACCTCTTTTAAATTTAATTGTTATCATTATTCCCCTAATGCTTATTTAATATTTCGTGCTATTTGTACGCGGACTTACTCCCAAAGTTCGTCGCAAGTAAAATATTTGAGAGTAGACCTCCGCGTGACCTGGAAATGGCACATTGAACGAGTAAGAAAAAATGCAACTGCATCCTTGACGACAGTTATCTGGCAACGGGTAGGCTGAAGCAACCTTAAACGAAACAGGGTCCTATTTTTTATTCACAGGACCAGGCCCAGAACTCGCTTGCCAAAGAAAGGGGGGGGGGGGCACAATGACATTTGATAAACATCATCGCCCATAAAATCGTAAAAGCAAATGGTCGATTTAACAACCTCCTTGTGCGAGGATTTCGGTGTCTATGGCTACAACCGCTGTGTAATATTGCGTCGTATCCTTGGTGATACCAGGTGGTATGTGATGGTAGAGTATGACTTGACTGGGGGAAATCCTCCTTGGTTACAAACAAGTAGCTGGCGCAACGAAAGATCTACCATAATAGAGATTTGCTCGAGACTATTGGTGGGGCAACTACATCGATAGTCGCTGAATCAAACACAATAGCAGTGCAGGTATATGGACCATATTCGAAGGTCCAAACGAGGATTATGGAGGAACTTCTGTGTTAACATGGTGGGTGTTCGAGAAATTCAAAAATTCTGAGATAGGCCGTCAACACGTTCAATCGTTCAACCCATTTAAGAATGCAGGTCCGGACGGGATATTTTTTTGCAATTTTTTAGAGCCTCCCTGGCTTTGAGGTATATCCCCGAATGCTGGTGAAGGCCTCCAGATACTTCAGATACTTCAGATGCTTCAGATGCTTCAGATGCTTCAGATGCTTCAGATGCTTCAGATGCTTCAGACGCTTCAGATGCTTCAGATGTTTCAGAAGCTTCAGATGCTTCAGAAGCTTCAGATGCTTCAGATGCTTCAGATGCTTCAGATGCTTGAGATGCTTGAGATGCTTGAGATGCTTGAGATGCTTGAGATGCTTGAGATGCTTGAGATGCTTGAGATGCTTGAGATGCTTGAGATGGTTCAGATGCTTGAGATGCTTGAGATGGTTCAGATGCTTCAGATGCTTCAGATGCTTCAGATGCTTCAGATGCTTCAGATGCTTCATATGCTTCAGATGCTTCAGATGCTTCAGATGCTTCAGATGCTTCAGATGCTTCAGATGCTTCAGATGCTTCAGATGCTTCAGATGCTTCAGATGCTTCAGATGCTTTAGGTACCTCAGGTACCTCAAGTACATCAGATACCTCCGGTTCCTCAGATATCTCAAATACTTCCGATGCCTCAGATGCCTCAGATGCCTCAGATGCCTCAGATACCTCAGATACCTCAGATACCTCAGATACCTCAGATACCTCAGATACCTCAGATACCTCAGATACCTCAGATACCTCAGATAACTCAGATACCTCAGATACCTCAGATACCTCAGATACCTCAGATACCTCAGATTCCTCAGATACCTCAGATACCTCAGATACCTCAGATACCTCAGATACCTCAGATACCTCAGATACCTCAGATACCTCAGATACCTCAGATACCTCAGATACTTCAGATACTTCAGATACTGCCACCGGTGAAAAATTCACCTCAACCCAGGTTCGAACACCCGACCTCTGGATTTATAGTCCAACTCTCTACCACTGAACCATAAAGCCGGTGTGAAGTCTCATATAGACACTAGGCTGTTAAGAGTCATTTATGTATAGCTTTCAAGAATATAACTGGAAAATTGGATACTCCTGTTTTTCCGAATGCGAATTCATTCTATGCAACAAAAGCAAATAAACACAATCAGTTACCATAACAAGAACAAGTTCAATAACGATTGAATGTGTGCAATAACTGTCTAGTGGTATACTCGGCTTGCAACCGGGGAGCCCGGGTTCGATTCTCTGCATGAACAGTTTTTTTAAAATTTGATTACAAAAATTAGTATCCCAATTCAACACATTGTCTGATGGGCAGTAGGAAGTTTGCCGGGTTTGCTAGCAATAAATATGTTTTAAATAATATGAAACTCTGTATTTTTAAAAACCTGCTTGTCAAAATTTCCCCTTATTCAGGCTATAACGCGGCGGGCAAGGGCGCAAATTTTAGTGCTTGCGTACACATAACTTTTCCTTGAGCCGGCCCTGCGAGAGTGCGTTTAACA